AATTGAAGATTTTAATCCACTCCGTTTTTTAAAAATCTAAAGCAGGATATAAGAAAAACTTTACTTAATGCCACTTGTGTCCTATGCTGACCGTCAGAAAGGAAAAAGGGAGATTAGATGGTATTAGGTGTGTGGATGGCGTCTGGGTTGTCGTCCCTATTAGTTTACATGCATTGACGAATAATATATGTTAATTCATACCCTGTTACTCATAACTGTTTGGCATTACAAATTTAAACTTGGGGTTTACAGGGCTTGTATTCGTGAATGAAGTAAAGCTTAATCTCAAGGTTCGCTTAAGGGACTCTCTGCATTCAAACAGCCAGAGTTATGAATTTCAAGCGAGTTAAATTTGTGAGGTTAGTTTATTCTTCAAAATTTACTTTTTGATCTAAAAAGATCGTTAGTCCTTTTTATTTTCCTCTGATAAGAAAGGGTGATTCTGTCGTTGATTAACACTAAGGCTAGGCCTATATTTGGAGCATATGATTTTTGTTGTGTAATTCGTTTGAAAATTCGTGCTTATTTCAATTATACAATTCCATGTTTTCCAAATATAGCCTAGTGAAGTTTGTTGGTCTCAACACTCAAGTACTTAGGCACATATATTTGTATTGAGTGCTACAGTGGAATCCGAATTTTTTTCATTTAATTTTATATTTAATGCAATCAAATAATCTCAATAATAGGAAGTTCAGATGAACAGAATAATCTCTATGCAATTGCAGTTCGGGGTCAAACAAACCCAAACAATTGAAGACACCGGATTAGCTTATTTTCCCTTCTGCAAACTGACCAAATTACTTGTTAATATTACCAAAAAAGGTCATCTGCAGAGATTTTTTTTGAAAGAAAATGTTAGATTAGATTTTTAACCCATTATACCCATCCTAATTAAGTGAATCTAATACCTTTTCACCAAAAAAACGTAATAAATTTATTGAAACTTAACTCAACATAATAATCGTAGTACCATCAGTACAGTAGTAGTGAATTAAATTCTTAGCTCTACAGAATTAAATATTATAAATCGGTCACTGTTAATTTATAATATATTCACAAAATGACGAATTCTGCATTTTTTGCGAGACTCGAAGTTAGTCTTCTGCATAAACTTAATCAATATTTACTAGAAGAGATTGAGAATACGTGCTTACGTTTTATTTTCATCTGTCTACGTCATGCCTGTTGTTGGGCATTCTTTCTCTTGATATGGCTTCAGTAATGTCCCAAGATTTGCTTTTGTACTTCCTGATACTTATTTCAATGCTTCTAATTCAGGTTTGAAGATTGGAGTTCAGAGAGATCTTTCTCCAGTAATAGTGAGTTACATGCCGTGCAAACTAGGCCATCCATAGCTGCTGTTTTGAGTAGCATCCGAAGAGGATTTGAGATGGGGTCTGAAAGGATTAAAAGCTTGAAAAAACCATTAAGCTTTTATTCTTACAGAGAACATCCAGAGAAGGAAGTGAAACATAGGAACAAAACTCTCAACCCACAAGGAGCTTTTCTTCAGAACTGGAACAAGATATTTTTGTTATCATGTGTGATTGCTTTGGCCGTGGATCCATTGTTCTTTTACATCCCCGTGGTGGATGGAAAAAAATTCTGCCTTAATTTGGACACAAAATTGGAAATTACCGCCTGCGTCCTCCGTACATTCATTGATGTCTTTTACATAGTTCGCATAATCTTTCAGTTCAAAACCGCATTTGTTGCTCCCCCATCTCGAGTTCTTGGGAGGGGTGAGTTGATAGAAGATCCTTTAATCATAGCAAAGAGATACCTGCACTCAAATTTCACAATTGATGCTCTGGCAATTCTTCCTCTCCCACAGGTATGCTCCCTAAATTCTTCACTTTGGCGAACATTATACCAGCATTCTTCAGTATGCTTTTAGCAATAATTTACTTCATTTAAATCAATAGAGCTCAGTGATCAAGAGTGGAAGCACCTGCACTCGTTTCTCAAATTCAAAGCTTATTATGAGCACTTCTTCTAATGGATAGTGAATAACAACATTGAGTGTTAAGGAAATGGTAGATCTGCAACTAAACTTTTTCTCTGTCCTGCTCAGGTAGTGGTTCTATTTGTCATTCCATTGGTGAATCAGCCTGTTGCATTGATCACAAAGGACTTTTTGATATTTGTTATTTTCTCACAATATGTGCCAAGAATTCTTCGAATCATCCCACTCTACAGAGATGTAACAAGAACTTCTGGCGGAGTTGCTGAAACTGCATTGGCTGGAGCTGCGTTGAACCTCATACTCTTTATGCTAGCCAGTCATGTAAGCATGATTCAACAATGTTTCAATTGTTTCTTAGTTAACTGTTTCGATTCTTAACCAACTGTCATGTCCCAGGCATTTGGAGCCTTTTGGTACTTGTTCTCGATAGAACGTAGAGATAGTTGCTGGCGTGATGCATGTGAAGCCAGACCTGGATGCAATTACATAAATTTGTACTGTGATAATGCTAACAACAATGACTTTTTGAAGGATACTTGTCCTATTATCGGACCTGAAGAAATTAAAAATTCAACAATCTTCAACTTTGGGATTTTTATTGATGCTCTTGAAACTGGTGTGGTGGAATCAAGGGACTTCCCCCAGAAATTCTTTTACTGCTTTTGGTGGGGTCTGCGTAATCTCAGGTTTGTACATATGTCCTCTTATATCTAATCCTGGAAAAAAAATATCAACTTCTGGTTCAGATAGTTTGAAATATCACCAGCAAGAGTCATAGTTAATTTCATCATAACATTGTTCCAAACTTGGCTTAACTTGCTTTATAATAATGACATAAAATTTGATTTCATTTCAAGAAAATTAAAGAAAAACTTAAAGTTTCTCTTCATTTGCAGTTCTCTGGGCCAAAATCTCAAGACAAGCCTGTTTGTTGGGGAGATCATTTTTGCTGTTTTCATTTCCATCACTGGGTTGGTCTTATTTTCACTTCTTATAGGCAATATGCAGGTATTGCACCATCTTGTCCTGTAAACATGAGACAAAATACGCCGTTATTTTCGGTAGTTATTTTAATCTTTCTTTTGCTTCTTCTGTCGTTAACCATTTGAACATTATAAGCATATGACATGAAGCCTGGTATTTTACACACTACA